AAATTAGGTAATAAAGACACCAGTTACACTGGCTGCGGTGTTCGCAGTTGTTAATGAAACTTCAGCAGTCCAGTGGTATGAGTACTGCCGTGACATATGTGCAACTAAAATGACACGTATACACCAATCATTCGGAGGAGTAGGATGTATCGTGCAGATAGATGAAACGGTAGTGAGAAAGCGAAAATACAACAGGGGACGTAGTATAAAGGAAGATTGGGTAAGTAGAATTTCCGTAAATATACTCGACAGGTACTTGGAATTTATGACTTTTTATACCGTATGCAGTATGATTTCAAAACATCTGAACCTTTAGTACACCTTGACAAGTTTTCAAATCATGTAAAACAAGTATATCCACTGTAATCCATCAGCTTCTTCTAATATATTTCTACGTTATACTAGCTGTCTTCTGATTGGATAATATTCTCAAGGTCACTTAAAATTCGTGTAAAGGTCGTCCTTAAACTAGAGTCTCGCCGACAATTCGATAAAAAAACAAAGCCTACTCAAGACCCTATACAATCTAAAAAAGGCTCTAATAGAGTCGAAAAAAGGGAGACAGCCATTTGTGTACCAGAATACTGTTTTTAGCACGATATTTTATAACTACATATTCTCATACTCTCAGTTTCTTTCTGAACCACCTTTATTTGTCAGTTGATTATCCACTCACACCTTGTTTACATTTATTTTCCTTAATTTAATGGAATGTTCCTGTTCAATAAACACTTTAATAAAAGAGATTTAGACTGAATAGTTATACCTTAAGTATTTCTTCATGAACAATGTCTGCTCTTCTTCTCGTCCTTTTTTGTTTTCTTTTTTTCTTGCACCATTTTTCAGCCTCCTTGATATACGGAACGGCTGACCTCGTCCTGCACCATCCTTAAAGCCTCAAATATTACAAAAGGATATAAGATTGCGAATTCTAGAAGCCCTCAACTTCATATGAATCTATTATCGACCATCAGTTGCACGTTGCAACGGAACTTTCATGAAGCGCGCCAACTATGATGCTGACTAAAACCATTCTACATTCATATCTTATCGACTCAGCTGAGTAATTTACTACAGTTGGAAATTGTATCATTTATAACAATTTGTTCTTGCCTGTAAAACGGCATGCCTCATGTAACAAAATGTTATTTGAGAATAAATTATTAATAATACTTGCATGAACATTTCTTCTTCATCCTCAGAAACGAGAACCGGTTCCCTGCGGAAACATAACAAGATACCAGCTATATATGCTGTAGTATCTGAACTTTTGTAGAGAAGGTCATTCAAAGATTTACCAGCCATCTTAACAACACAATCCAGTAACACTTTCACGCTCTTTGGTTTCTTGAGGTTAATCACGGCATGAGGGGCAAGTACCATTTTGGACAATAACCCTGATCGAGTTGCATTCCTGGAACTACAACCTCATACCCTTTGTCATTTGTCTGCCGCATGGCACGGGTGCAGCTTTCCCGAAAGTCCTTATCGCATGTTAGTCTGCGCCTCAGACTTTCTAATCTTCATCTAGCTAAAACATAACCACTGGAGACCACATTTCTTTCCACCTTCCAAGGTAAAAGGACAACATAATGACCTTCATCAAAATAAGTGCCGCGCTTTACTATGCTAACTGATTTTAAGTCGTTTAAAGATAATGCTTTAACGGGGGAATGGGCGTCAGAAAATTCATAGTTATATATAGTCTTCAGTTGCTCTACAGGGTCATCGGTTTGAGAAATATCGTTTGCCATCATGATCAGACTGCGCTCAGAATATGGTATATCCGGCAGTATTCCTACATTCCATCCCGAATTCAGCAAGTGGATGGTCAGTGGAACATCCCCTACGTCGACTGCGTTAGTGAACGTTACATGAACGAGTTTCAGATGATTTTGGTGTTTGGTATCCCTCTCATGGGTAAGCCATATAACTGATAGCAGCTCAAATATTAGCTTCCTGTTTAACTGATCCAAAGAATCCTGATGTTTCTGTCTTGCGAACAGAGAATGAGACCAGAGCCGTCCTTGTATTCATGAATATGATACGATTATCAAGAACCATGATCGTCTCTCCAGATATTCGTGTACGTTGATGTTGAGGTCTGTTTTGTTTGGCAGTTCCTGTTCAGATTCCGTGGTTTTCGTTGACTGGTTGAACAATCATGGCCGTAGATTACTCGGCCGACTAATCAACTGATTTTCTTTCACGACCTGGACTTTCCAACATTTCAACGGTGACGTTCCATACATTTTAATTCAGTTGACAGTGGCCCAGTGTCCCAAAGCAAAGTTTTTAGGGTACAAAAATTTACGTCTGTGAAGGAAACTACATATTGAAAGCGGAGAAAGTTGGGTTGTATCACAGGTTGAGATATACGAAAACTAGCCTCGACGTAAATTCCTTAAATACACATTATCCGTAGAGACAGGTACATATCCGGAAACCTGGAAGGTAACGTATGTTCTTCCAAAACACAAATCCGGACCGAGAAACCTGGTCGAAAACTACAGACCTATAAATATCACTCCAGTTATATCACGCATAATGGAAAAAGTGATAAAAAATCAACTATCTGATCACCTACTTAAGGAAAATCTAATAGACCCGTCACAACACGGCTTCATTAGAACAAGGTCGTGCAGTACATGTCTGATAGACTTCTTTAACGAGGTTACTCGCATACGTGATCAAAAGAAACTGGTGGTTATACTATATTTCGATATTAAGAAAGCTTTCGATAAAGTACCTCATAATCTTCTAATCAACAGACTTAGGTCAGTTGGAATTATAAATCCCCTTTTGCAATGGATCAAATCTTTTCTTACGAACAGATACCAAATAACCAAGATTGACTCTACAACATCTACACCTCGACCAATATCCAGTGGTGTTGTGCAGGGTAGTGTCTTGGGTCCATTGCTCTTTATAATATACATCAACAGTATATGCAAATGCTTTAGCACAGGTAAGACCTACCTCTATGCCGATGACTTAAAAGTCATCTATAAAACCGACACTTGGGATGTACGTAGTACTATGCAAACAATCCAACATGAACTCAACATAGTAGACGACTGGTGCAAACGCTGGAGGTTAGAGCTCAACACAGAGAAGTGCGGCTGGTTATGTATAGGAGACACATCTCTCAAAATAAAACTAACAATTAACAACAACACACTGTCCAGACTGGCATCAGTAACTGATTTAGGGGTACACTACTCACAACGTCTTAATTTCTCTGAACACATCTCAGCCAAAGTATCTAAAATGAGGAAATTGCTTGGCTTCATTCTCCATAATTTCTATAAAAATGAATCCAAAATCCTTCTTTATAAAGTTTGTGTAAGACCTATCGCTGAATACTGCTCGTTCTTCTTTTCCAACCTACGCCTATCTGATATACCAAAGGTGGAAGGAATACAACGAGACTTCACCCGCAAAATACTTAAGACTGAATCAGTCGTTGACTACAGTTCCCGATGCCAAATCCTAAGAATAGCACCCCTTTGGAAGAGAAGGCTTAGGTCTAATTTGATTCTCTACTTCAAACTACTCAAAAACCTTACTTACTCAACACGTAATATAGTTCTTGCCCGAAATTCACATGAATATGTACTTCGAAACAAAGAATCTACGGTCAAAGTTGAGAAATACAGATCAAAAACTCGGGAAAACTTCTTCCTCATCAAGTATGCAATAATTTGGAACAGTCTCCCCTCCGAAATACGCATGGCAGATGAATTACATACGTTTGTAAGGCTGCTTGATCAAGCCCTCATTTGCACTGATCTAACACATACGAACAGATCTGCGCCCCACTCAGATATCATAGGCTCTCTACATGTCTAAACCAAAATGGACTCCAAGTTCAGATTGCCTTATTTTTCCTACTTTGCAGTTGTTTTAGTTACTTTTCCCACTCTATTTCTTCACTTAAAGTAGACAGGTAACTCACTGGACCTGCTGATACTGTCCAACTAAACTCGGTCGCTAAGAGACACACTAGCACCCTAAAAAGTCAAGAGAACCGCGCAATCGACTGCCTAATACCGATCGAACTGCATCTTTGAAGCCTGTTACCCATCAACTGGTTAAGACAACACAAAAGAACATCAGCACCAAGTTAGTGTGAGTCTATCCTTGTTTATTGCTTATTTGCTTTTTACTCTTCTGCACACCATGTTGACTAGCAATTAATATTATTCCTCCACTCGTTACCTAATCTACAACCCATATACTTCTATACTTTTCCGCCCGTTTTATTAAACCACTATCCTACATTACACCCCTCTTAATGTTTATACTTTAATAGGCAAACTATACTTTATACTATGGTCAATTAAAGCACTGCATCGATGCCTTACCCACAGTTCATAATTTGTAACTGCCTGATAAGCTTGTAAAATGGTACTTATAGAAATAGTGTTTTTCAACAGATTGTGAAACAGAGGATTGTGTGAGGTATGATATATATCCAAGAATAAGCTTAAATGAGCCTAACATCACAAAAGGAGGGAGGGTGGAGTTACTGACCAGCAAGCATTGATGGTGAGGGCGATGACTTCAATCCACCCGTGTTTGTGGGGCAGAACATTTTGTATGTATCAGGCTCTCTATGATTGAGCATAAGTCAATCAATCTGTGATATAGATTATCTTGCTACGCTCACCACTCAGACTCATGTTTCCAATTTTATACTGGAGTAGCTATTCTACTAAGACAACCTATAACATGCTAACTCGGACTTTTACACATGGATTGTGTGGCTGGCATCGGATGAAAAAAAAGAAAGAAAGAAAAAATCAGACAACAAAAGATATAGTTATTAATATTTTCAACACTTCACCCTTTATATGCACACTCCCTTCTAATAAACAACCTTCCCTGTACCAACCTTAACTTCCCTTCCTTCATATGAGCTTAATCCAACTTGTTAAACATCACAATTCATTGTTCTTTATTACTACATTCTCTTGAATGGAGCCTCTGACTTTATTTCACTCTAACAAGAGATAATATGAATTTAATCTAATTTATTATACCTTTGTCTGTTCTACGTAATGTTAAGCAACGTTTGGAGTCCATATCCAAGTGCCTTGTTGCTCTGCTGTTTCTCTTTTTTATTTTCTTCAGAATCTTGCTCCGAGGGCACAGCTATGAAACTTCTAACGTCTGGAACAAACTTGACGTAAGCGTCAACTCAAGACCATGGTTTATAACAAGCGCTCTACGAGACTACTTTATAACAACTATAAACTCAATAAGTTAGGAAGCATGCTATGCTCCAACTAATGTTATAATTTGTAGATCATGCCTGTAAAAATGGCGTGTACCTGCTCATGCAGAAATATATTATTATTATTATTAAAGCTAAGGTAAAAGAACAATTAGTTATTAACTCGGGTATAACTCAAATAGATAAGTAAAATATAAAATGCTAAGTTTAGGACAAATCCATCGTATCGAAAATTGTGCTTTCTTTGCGAAAATGTTTACGAAATATAAATCACGTTAGGACAATACTTTCCGTTCGTAAAGCGCGCGTTAGAAACATGTTTTTAAATGTCACAAATTTTTTGAATCGTTATGAATGAAATTAAAGTATTCAATCAGAAAGTTTTTATCTTGATAGTTAGATATCATTGATTAGCTCAGATGCAATCTGCAGCTAGATTTGCAACCTCCAAGTGGCGTTAAAAATTAACTGTTATTTCGTATAATATCTTTCTCAGTTGAATGGTTTCTCTGCTTTTATATGCTCATCATCTTTGTGTGGCAGCTTGCCTTAATAAACTCAAGTGTAATCAACTCAGCCTTTCCTTTTCAGAACGACTGGTAAAGACGAAACATCGAGTACAAATACGATGGGCTAAATTTTTCATCATACAATTTTCCGTTACTATATAATCTATGACTCTTCAAAGTAAATGAGGACGATTAGACGCTTCCGGTCAACCAACGGCATGCCCGTTGGCTTTAAGCTTCTGGCTTATCATGCTTTCGGGGTTTCACTAATCTTCTAGAGAGGAGTGAGGCGTAGCGAAACTAATAGTATTGTTAACCTTCTACATTGATACTGACCTCACCAGTTTCATTGGACGTATCCCTAAATTAAGGCGCTAGGTCAATCATCCTCAACAGATCACATACTCCGTGGTAAGCTATTGATTAAGGAAACGCCAAGAAAATCCTTTTTCTGCGGACAAATATTGTAACTCAACCTGATGACTTAAGTAATATGAGGTTTTCGACTCTCAAGTCGTCGGTACAGTGTTCCTGAGATGAATGTTTATCACTTCCCCTATTAAATGAATTCAGGAAAGGGGCAATTTTAGGTCCTCATTGATCAAATTATCTAACGCTGTTTTGCCCATTTTTAGCCATGATTCCTACTGTAAACATATGTGATACTGAGCTAGTGATAACCTAAGACAGTTCAACGCTCTCTGTCATGAATAAGTGGTTTGTCTTTATGGGTATTTCTGATTCAAATATTCAGGAGAGATAATCACAAGCACCTCTACTTGAAACAAAATCTGTGGATACCAGTGGGTTAAAGTTCAAGTAGTTACAAAATTACCTTAATCAGAAACTACAAAGAGTAAAAGTCTTCTCCATTATATGAAAATAACAATAAAAGTCTAATCAGTCTTCATATTTCTCTTTTATCAGCGTCACGAATGTAACATGCAAAGATAGAATTTGGAGCAGGTGTGCGTTCGAACAAATGCAGACAAAGACAGCCAACATAGCAGCAGTCTCTGCATCAGTAAGCCTCGAAGTACACAAAGGGAAAACCAAGGTCCTCAAACACAACACAGAGAGCAGCAGTCCAATCACCCTTGATGGCAAAACTCTGGAAGATGTGGAATCCTTCACATACCTGGGTAGCATCGTCGATAAACAAGGAGGTTCAGATGCAGACGGAAAGTCTAGGATTGGCAAAGTAAGGACAGCATTCCTTCAATTAAAGAACATATGGAACTCAAAACAACTTTCAACCAATATCAAAGTCAGAATCTTCAATACCAACGTCAAGGCAGTTCTACTGTACGGAGCTGAAATTTGGAGAACTACAACAACCATCATCAAGAAGGTACAGATATTTATCAATAGCTGTCTACGCAAGATACTCAACATCCATTTGCTGGATACCATCAGCAACAGCCTTTTGTGGGAGAGAACCAATCAGCTTCCAGCTGAAGAGGAAATTAGGAAAAGACGATGGAAATGAATAGGACATACATTAAGAAAATCATCAAACTGGATTACGAGACAAGCGCTAACTTGGAATCCTGAAGGAAAGAGGAAAAGAGGAAAAGAGGAAAGCCAAAGAACACATTACGTCAGGAAATAGAAGCGGATATGAAAGGGATGAATAAGAACTGGAAAGAGCCGGACAGGATTGCCCAGGACAGGGTTGGATGGAGAATACTGGTAAGCGGCCTATGCTCCTTCACGAGGAGTAACAGGCGAAAGTAAGTAGGTAAGTATGTGCGTTCGTCAAGGTTACAGATCCTTCGATGTACCACTTTTAAAAAGATTATAACAACTGTGAACACAAACGTACTATCTTGCTGATTATTCTGCATGGATATTCTATCAAAAATTTCCACTATCCCTATCTGTTGATGATGCCTTTAGGAATGACTTGCACCTGCTATATATTATGACCGATCATAACATTATTCATATTCTTATGTACGCAAATTTACCCCCCTGTTACTATGTTATATTAGATATCAACCTAACTTATTACGGTAAGCCATATAACGTCTGTAACTTTTCCATCTATTTCCATCCTATAACATATCGTTATATAAAACTAAATTGCTATCAATATATATCTTTGAAATAATAATCGGTGAGCTAATGAGTGATCTCTGTCGTCGACCTCTAATATTTGCAATGGGTCTTGGACCCGTGCAAAAGGTCCACTGTCATGTGCTTTCAATATTATTTTGGTTCCATAGATGAGCTGCATGCTTCCTGGACGACTGCTGATACCCGTCTTCCATCAAAGAAAATTGTCTGTTGCGTCATGTGATGCCCTTAGTTCTCTTTACATTGGCCTTCATCAGATAGTGAGGACCATGAAATGATATGGCTACTCTATAGAACGTTATCAACCAGATCGTCTTAGTTGTTGAAAGCGAATACATAGTACTTAACTAGGGGACCATATATTAGTCCTCTAGCCTGCATGCAAAGAGCTGTGACTGTAACTTTTATTCTTGTCAAATTGGGTTGCACCAGACACGTGCATTACATGCTGAGACGATGTCCTAAGCCATAGAAAGCCTAATAATAGTCGTAGGTGTTTCGTAGCAAACCGTCTGTGAATAACGGGGAAAGGTTCTAGTAGCTGTGCTATGAACCATGTTTTGATACCTAAAGATCTGTGATCTTCAGGCTTGAAATAATATACTTTGTCTTCTTCTAGTTAAGTCTTATTAGTTTATAGTTTGTTGTATATATAGGCCTAGTCGTCCATAGTCAGCAATTTTAATAACATAACCGCTTAAGCAGAACAACAATTACGGCACCTATTTACTTTGATGATATACTTGGTTGTAATATAATTCATTTTAGTCAGCATAATAATCGTACTTTAAGAAAGTAATGAAACACATATGTTCAGTAACCAGAGTTACTTAAATTTTAATTTACGTTAATGTGCTTAGACGTTGAAATTATAAAATGATCGGTATGAGATTATATAGCCCTACAAGAGGAATATTCTAAGTATTAACTAAATGCAACTGGCTATGGATCAGCATCCAAAATCTGTTTAACTACTGGCGACTGAGAAAACGGAACCGATTCAAAAACCTTATCGTCAACATTGACATCAAATAACTAACGGAATTTCAGCACGTTGGAAGATAAAATATTGCAGCGAGAAAAGGGAACAAGGCAAGTTAACTGCCAATGTTTACAATGATGACGGAAATGACAATTCCTGTTTCATTCTGATTGGTTGGCAAGTCCACTGCCGAAATAACGAACCAGAGTTTAATTTCTTAACTACTCGGGTTCACTGTGCTGCAAAGTGCGGAGCAATGTGACACGGAGCATTGTGGACTTTATTAAACACTTATGGATTGGGCTCTAGTTACCTGTTACCGTGGTTGAAAAAATCACTTGGAAAACTGGGAATAGAAGACAATGTGGTCAGTTCTCATTGACTGCCAAAACCAGAATATACGGTCAAAGACGGAAGATAGGGGTTTACACAACAAATTACATGTCACAATAATCTGTACACATAGATTTAATCACAAAATATGACATGCGTAGATCGTTATTTTCGGATGATAAGCTTGACTGCGATTGGCAAATAGGGTGTTGATTAATAAGCAGCTCAATTCTAGAACACCCATTGTTTTACCAGATCCATCCTTCAAATCACATACACAATAAAACAAGTGAGCTCCAAATTTTGAAAAAAGTTCAATGAATAGGGTTTAGGAATCAAATGGTTGAACTTTGTATTTCGTATACAAAGCAGTGCTTACAATATCTTGTTACGTCAGGACCCCCATACCCCATCTACATTTGTACCTGATATTAATCTCCACAAACTGATGAACTATATTCCTCATGTCTGTGAATTTTTTAAAAACTATCTTTGTAGATCTGTATTGTCCTGTTAGACGTTTAGTTTGAAGATGCCACAGGTATTTGGGGCTTGACAACTCTTTAGCTAGTAACACCTAATATGAATCGTACCCGCCAAGTGAGATCAAAAAACAGAAGAGAAGAGGTTCAAAGATATATTTGATAGGTTACCAATATATCGAGGATTGACTGATCTAGGTTGATTAGCGATTGCAAGGGATGTTGAGCACAGTGTTCCCACTTGCGATCTAGTGCGGATGCATGACCGAGCGCCTTCAGCTAAATGAGTCCATTAAAACTAATATGATCAGCATCAAATACCGAAGACTTACAGAGCAATTTATTTTGGGGATTTATTTAGAGCTACAAGGTTACTGGTAATATATTGAGTCGTAGTGCCTTACTTATTTTATTTACAATATTCTGGATAATTCTGACTTTGTGCACAACAAACATTCGTTTTTAATACTCCCATAAATTTTAGGTTTATTAGTATCACCTAACACCACAGTTTATCACAACACTTATATCATCACGACTTTACAAGTAACCTTGTGCTGTTATGCCTCTCCTGAACTAGAGTATATTTTGATGTATTGTTATGGTTACTCCCGAATAGAGACATTATTTATAGTATCTACGTTCTAGTGGGAGGCTAGTGCAGCAGCTTTATTGATAATACATTTGTATACACCATTAGCTTTCGACAGACGAAGAATTTTTGTCTGTTCACTGATTCGTTAAGAATTTTTTACATACTTTCAGCTTTATTTGATTGGTATGCCTTTAGTCGGACCTGGTTAATTCCTCATATTTGGTTGAAGCATACTATCAATAAAGCTTCCTGGTGGACTTCCGATTTAACACTGTATGAAAAGATGTTACTCATAAGTGTTTTATTCCTTTATCATCTCGAGGCAACTCAGAACGTTATCATTTTAGTGTTAGACATAGCTGACAGAATCTCTCTCTAACTTTGTTATTCCCCATTTCCGACTTCACATGACTATTATGCGAAGTGTTTTATTACTTCTCTATATCTATCAGGTGTATAATTATCTATCGTATATCTGACCTGACCTGTTTGCTTTAGCCTTCAGATCGTTAATCAGCCTGTCTGTGATACCCGAAGTTTCCAAATAACTTGTGGTTGTTCATTTCAGTTTTCAATATACAACTACATTTACCTGATAACAACAAATACGACAGTACAGTACCATAGTCGAAAAGAAAATTTCCATTCCTGAGTTGTATTTGCTTCCTTTTTCGCTGTTGAAAGTTTACTTATGAAAAGTTATTTCAATTTATGCAAGTATATAAAGTTAAACAAATGACTAGTGAAAAAAGTGTGAGTAATGTCTCTATGACGTTTGACCTCGTCGAAGCTGAAAACTGACATCGTTGCTTGTAAGGATTTCCAATGCATTGATAATGTCTGAACTCCCTGAAGATAAAAAGCACAATATAAATGAAAATCGTAATGAAAAAACATGGTTTAAATAGTAGTGTGATGCCTATTTAACAATATTCCAACACTTTTGATGACAAATCATAGGGTTGGTCATTCTGATTTAGAAAATACAATCCTTAACTTAAGGTATACGATAAAATTATTTTTCCTTAAATCAAAATTTTAATGTTAGATGTTCAATGTTTCAAACATAAACGATTATTTTAGACATTGTAAAATACAAAAATCTACCCAATAGTATTGTTTAATGCTTAGAAGGCTGACAAAAAGGTCAAATGTCATTTTTCTGGTTTTTTTTATAGTTAATTGTCAACTTACAAAGGATCTTCGATGCAACGAAAAGGAATATGGGCAGAGTTCAGTTTGTTTGCAAGTTCTTGCAGACTCCACGATTCACACGTTTGTCTATTAGGAAATGTACAACAATAGTAATGATGAATGTGCTAAAAATCTTTGAAAGTAGGATAATTGTCATAGAATATCAATTTTAATAACCTTAATTGTACTTCATCCATTCCAGTATCTATTTATTCAAATCAACCCTATATGCACTGTTCTAAGTTGAGTAACAACTTCAAATGTTATTTGGTGCATCACGAATCCTTAAAAGCAGGGTACATTGAGTAATCATCAAAATACAGACTTATTTGGTTGTTTATAGATTTCAAACAAACCTCTAGATAACACTTAACATACCTATCTATAATGTTATATTAATCAAAGAATAATCTCGAGGGGTTGAATTTGTATAAAACATAAGCAATTAAAGTGGTGAACCATAATCCAGCAGGAATACATATGGAAAATACTGAGATTTTAGATTACTGATAAATGGTGTAAACATTTTTGTAAAACTAAGTCAAAGTTGATTAAGAATACATTCATGAACTAATGGGATATTTACAGCAAAAAATTATGGTACTCATTTTTTCACTCAAAAGTTGAAGTACATGTTTGAAAGTTTACCACAAAGAATAAGTAGTCCACATTTTGAACTAAAATGTTAAGTTTTTGAATTAATGTTTCATAAAAAATCCATCGAATACTATGTAACTCATAAAATAGGCACTCCTAACAACAATACATCAGTTTTTAGTTTAGTCGTTGGTTGACTTCATAATGATTGAATAATAATGATGTCAACGATACATAGATTCTATTGACCTCGTACACATCCTGTCGACAAATCACGTTCATGTAACATAGAGAACAGAAGTCAAATACGAATCGTATTTAGGATAGGTATATTTCAGACTTGCTAAAATTGAACGGTAGACTATCATTAAAAGATTCAGAGAATGTACAAAGCGTCGGAGTTTAGTGAAATAGAAGCTCAGAACAAAAGGTGACTCCGTTTTTACCAGTCATGTAGAATATAAAGGAAGTGGATGGACACGTATATACTATAATGGGTATAAAAAATGGTCAATTACATGCCAGTAGTTGACAAGTTCGAATAAATATATGATAGAATAACTGGGAGGATTAGGGTAGTTCGTCTCATATCTTTTTAACCTTACTCAAGAAAATAGGCGTGTAAGACTAGTAGAAAAAGTGAGATGAATAACTTGTCCAGAAATTAATACAAGGTTCCTACATTAGTGGTCTAAACTACCATGATAATAATCACACAACACTTACTCTAAAATTGATATTAATGGCAAAATTACAAAACTGGAAGTGTTGATTTAAGTAATTAACATTCACTAATACCAACGTTGCTAAAGTGTGACTATTGTTACTATGGTAGTAAGTGGTGGCTACTGGTTAAAAAGCCTGACTTTCTGTCACTGGGTTCCAAGTTTGAATTTACTTTAATTTTACGCAAAAGATGTGACTAACAGATAAATGAAAAACATGTATCAGGTATATGAGCCACACTAAATGATTTAACTATTATATTTTGTTAATGTTTATAGACTTCGTATTAATTTGAACACGTAATATACATAAAGGACTTTTATACCGTATTTTATAAACAAGTGAATATGTCAATAAAATTCCACATCTCTTTTAATTGTTAACGTGTTCATCTTCTTACAATTGACAAAAACTGAATTATACATGCTCACTCAGCATAAACTACAATCTATTAGTTAATATTAACTAATGATTTTTAAATAGTTTTAAATAAGATTCATTTTCAGATGATAAATACACTTACTGGTAAGTGAAATCTTCCAAACTATGAATTAATTTCACAGTTAGTTGTTGTACTCGAGGACCACTTAACAGTGGTAGTTCTATTTTTCCAAAAGTTCTTACAGCATAAAATGCAATAAAAATTGAATAATTTAATAAAATATAAACGTTTCAATAAATACAGTTATATATATATTAGTATCAAAAGTAGTTTTTGTGGATATTAGAGTAATTTCAATAGTTGAAATCATGAATCAAGGGTTAGACAACCGTTTCGTTCAATGTTTCCAGGTTTTCCATGGTGGTCTAACTTCAATTGACTCATGATCAAAACTATTGAGATTATATATATATTAAACAAAAAAGAACAAATTATTATTTTATTCATTCATTATTTCAAATGCTTTGTTATGAATGAATTTTTAAGAGAGGAAATGAATTAATTAATTTATTGATTAAAGTTCATAATTTCATTAATAAGTATATCATTTCTCTAACATAACTATTAGCTTAACCACAAAATCTTTAATCTAATAGTCTCGAAATTCCTGAGAAATACTTGAAAAACATATTTGATCAAGTATTAGCAACTTCGTCAAGCCTTCCAACTTCATAAAGTATATTCCACAGTCTTAATATAGTTCAAATGAAACTGATGTTTAATATACTCATTATTCAATAGTCGGATGTGTTGTGTTTTACAGGTAGTATAAGTTAGTGAAAGCCGATTGGCAGTTTTGAATACAATTATGGATTTCATTCTCATGCATATTAGATAATAAAAATAACTGATTTTTAGACTTGTTCAAAGTACTGGGTCATTGTAAATTAAATTTGACACATTTCAAAGGATTCGTTTCTAGTGATTTTGAAAGGTAAGCGTTTAATACAAAGATTATTTAATTTCAATGGTTAATGTTTAACTTGTTACGAAAGTCTTATTTCAACAAAAAAATTCTCCGTATGAAAAACATTATCAAAGATAATTTTTTCATTATGAATCCATGCTTCGTGAATAGTGGTTAAATGGGTTAGATAGCCCATTGAACGTGAAAAATTCGTTAATTTTAGAGTGTATCTAACCGACGCTTTACTCAACCATATTTTTCCTAATATGGGAGATAACCAAAGAAGATTCTTAGACTTCATCCGTTACTTCAATTTAAATGTTATCTCGTGCATTACAAACTGTTTCGTTAATTAAGCAATGAACGTGTGTCAATGAATATATCTTTGACACAATCAAAAGTCAACAGGTATCCCTTTCATGTTACCACCAACTGTATATACAAATTTGCATGTATCTGCCAAAGCAGTTACAGTGGTAGAACAGAAAGGAGAGCCTACATCCGATTCAAAGAACATATTCCGAAAGGTTTGAAATCAAACGGACCAAAGGCATTCAGCAGCGCTATCGCAAGACATCTCCTTGACACAGTACACGAAGTCGATATACTGAAGCCCATCTAGGTGATCAACAAACAGTCAAATTCAAACCTTTTGAAATTTGCCGAAGCGATAGCAATCAGACCTTTAAAACCAAATTTTGTATACAAAAAGAAACAGTAATAGATCTTTCTTTGCCCTGGTAACATTACCCCCCCCCTTTTATTTATGACGTCAAACCAACTCCTTCTGAATTTTATGATTACATCACTCATAACTGACCAATTTCAATTCATATCTCTCTTAATTACCACTAATCTATTTTCAGTTACTCCATTACATAATAATCTAATGTGTTTTAATCCCAATGTTCTGGGACCTTCCTTCCCAAACTCTATATATTCGAAACAAAAAATTTTATGACCTCATTAACTCTAACGGAATGTTTGCTACACCATATTATATATATTCATCCTTCATCACCTACTGATGTATAAGTATGTCAATATCTGTAATAACGTTGAATTTCGAATATTTTAGGTTGTAAGCAGCTGATAAGAACCTAACGAAATAAAATCAATTCATATTATTCTGCACCAATCTTTGTTCTTGCTCTCTTTAAAATGAACATATCATTGGATATTCCTAAAGATTTTTATTAAGTCTATAAGAATGAATTGGCTAAAAGAGATATTTATTAAAAAACTCACTTATTTTCATTAAATGGAGCTTTGACTGAGCCATTCAGTACCAGAAAAATGTTACCAGATGCTCTCCTGGCATACTATAATAAAGGCATTTTGTGTAAGAATATAAGTTATTAACTGGTTTACTTTCAGTATTCTGTTATTTATTTAAAGCGAGCAGATATTGAGCTCCGGAATTAAATCGTCTATCTCAGCAAACTTAACGATATTAAAACAATCCAACGGAGCTGTAAACCTCTTCTGTTACGAGAAATCCATGGATTAATTTTTATCTCAATGTTATTTTTGACTTCATGAAGATGTGAATTTCGGTAAAAGAAAATGAAAACAGCTGGAGAAAATTGAGAGAAGAATACTCCTTTCACATTTCACGAATAGCTTAGAAACGTTATCCTGTTTACTTCTAAGATTTTAGAAAATAAAATATCACATACACCAGATAAATTGTTGAACCACATACCATGTGAACCAAAAGACTAAATCACCCATGAGTTACGTGTTAATTACATTTATACAGGTCAGTTAGTTAGACCAAGAATATTATCCTAATCATACAATTTAGTCTTTAAATGATCTAGTTTCAATTTTATGATCTTGATACACTTTACCCATTAAAACTTCAAAACTCTTAAAATGTCAACTTCAAACCAGTTATGAATCTTTTGACTGCTCAGAATTTAACTACGTTAATATTTGATATTCATATGTATTTGAACATGATAGATACATTCATTATTATTAAAAAAATGTATTTTTCAATGGTTCCGAAGAAAGAACAAAATTTCTTTCGCTGGCATTCAACTATTCAATGTTAATAGCATCATAAGAGTAGTAGCAAACCAGAATTTACAGAAATCTCAGCCTGTATATGACAGCTCGATCAAAGTTCTTCAATATGAAACAATTATTCATCTTCAAGTGAACGAATTGGTGAAGATAGAAGATATGCGTAGATTGTTAGATTTGGTAAGCGTACCATTTGTAGAAACAGTTTACGTTTATGATATGAGAAATTTTCTTATCACATTTGTGTTGTAAATGTTATTTTTTGGAAGGCGGGTGTTGAAGCCAAATCAAATTTCAGCTTATCTTCTCAGTTCTGTTCAGCCAATTTGAACCCCATTTTGTGTGAAGCGTTTTTGCGATGAGTCTTTATATGTGATTTTGAAAATTTCTATGGATGATCTTAATAAAATCAAAATTAATCTTATGACTTGATATTTTAGCGTACAGACCCAAGGCTAAAGAGGCTCTAAGTGTTTCGAGCTCCATTAGATTTTGCGTTAGTCAAGCAGGAGCTATATAATGTTCATTTTTTCTTGTGTTGATTTCTCGAGGACTTTATTCAATTTATGTTGTATCACAGTCTAAACAATTTATTTCGTTGACAAAATTAGGCCGCGAATCTTTTGGTATTTTATCTTATACATGTAATTATTCATATGACATTTTCTATATTACGGACTGTTTACTTCTTAAATACTAGCGAATCTGCAAACGTTTCACGATATCAAAAATAAGACTAATGTATCCTTCGGAATAAAAAAAACAGAGACACTGAAGACAGTTTATTACAATCATTATAAAAAACTTAATACCTATTTGACGATTTTTAGCATCAGATCATTACAGAATCTCATACGAAATTATTTTATTAGACATGACATAGTTTCTAATTAATGCTGCATTATTTAATGCAAATCTATTACGGTATCTAGAATAACACTATGTTAATAGGTAGAGAACTACTTCGTACATACCTCAGCCGAAGCACTTTCCCAGTAAGCCCGAACAACATTGTTATAATTACATCCACATGCAGTCCCATAGTTTGTCATGCCTGTTAATGTGTCATTACACCAATTCAAATCATCAAACAGATATCCTAGTTGCAAACAAAAAAATGAACTAAATTAGTATTTTCAGCACATTGATAATGTTATATAATGAGTAATTGATATTCGGATAATAGATTTCTATCTTAACTCATGGGAAATTAAATATACTATATCATGCTTCATATGTGGCAACAAAACAGACATAGGCAGTTATAAGTCTATGATTATTACTTCAGCTATCTCTAGAATCACAAAAATGGTGTGCCTGACGAAATGTCTGATTGTTCAGCTGCAGAAAAAGATGTTGCTAATTCACAACACACCCCACGTAGATCAAGATCATGCATGATTTGTCACCTTAACTTTGTCATTACCGAGCGTAGTCACAGAAATCTAGTTTTATTACCGTACTTATAGGTTTCTAAGACTTTCGAGGTTGTTAACTATCAGCATCATATTAGCAAACTCATATCTTATGAGATCACACACTACACATTGGCACGGTCTAATTCTTTCTCTCAATAACTGGAATCGATTAATTAAGATTAACACTTCCTATAAGACGATATGCCTCCCACAAGTGGTGTAATCCGACGCAATGTCTTGAGTACTTTGTTCTTTACTACATGTATAAACCATATCTACAATTGCTTCACAATGGGTATACCTTTTGAAGACTTAACTATGTACAGAATTGAGTCAGTATCAATTAACGAAGTCACCTGATGGAACCCAAAATGGAGTTTGGAACCTAGCACTGCTAAATGTGGATGAGTTTGCTTTAGTATTTTTTTCAATTTCGACTTCATAATAAATGGTAAGTCGCTATTTACGTTTCAATTAGTTTATTTATTTAAACACATAAACATAGGTGCAAGGAGGAACAAAATAGATATGCGCCACACTTCTTCATTTGATTTGTTTGAGGGCTGAAACACTGCTCGGGTGCTCAAACTGAAGCAGGTGGTTTTCTTAGGGAGCCACTCCCTAAGTCTTTGACCTAAAGTTCTGATTCACAAGGTAGTGGAGCAACGTCGGGAGATGCAGTTTCTAGATAGTCGGTAGTCAAAAGTGAGTTCATATGTCATTCGTTCCTTCAAGATTCTGGAGCCCATGTGCACCAGTGGTTTAGAATCAGGGTTTTCCAACCCTCCTAGGTGGATCCTTTATATCCACAACCCGGTTAAAGTGCCGAATATTTGCTTTCCGTCTTCTTAATTTGGTAAAAAACACTCTCAACACGTGAAGGCAGTGAGTACGACTTCCCCGATAGTGGCTGTATGCGCATAGCTATGTGAGAGCATTTCGAGAGAGAGATCTGACTATCCCCACTCTCGCCCGTAGCAAGATATTTGGGGGCCTTCATTCAGTTGCAAACTTAGAACTCAGGTATCGTTAAAATTTGTGCTCCTCAGAGTAGGTCACATAGCAAGCTTGTAAATCAAGAAGGCTTCTAGATTATATAATACTTAATCGCCGCAATAATAATTTACATGTTTATCTGTACCACATTTAGTTCCGACCATTACTGAAAGACTGTAATTTTATTCTGAAAAGTATTTTCATTAAAGACAAACAAAATTTAAATTTGTCCTCCAGATCTTTAAACTGTTTAGTTTTAGAAGCAGTTGTACTTTAAATTACACATCTAGATGCACTTAGCTAGCACTTTATTCTAATCTTTCTCTTTTAAAAATTAAATTATCCACTAATATAATCCAGCGTGTAGAATCACCAATTTATAACATGAAAAATTCGACATCGAAAGTAAAGACTTGTATTTGAAATTCACTTTCCGTCTGAGTTATATTAGAAATAAATTTCTAGGAATCTGAAATAATTTATCACTATCTATCTACAAAAATGATATCTCGATCATCATTTATATAATACATCGATAATTACCTCTTTTCAGATGACGATTCGCTTATATCAACGATTATATTTCACTAGGAACTATTAACTTTAGTGATATTGATTAATTTTACTAAGATGTAATTAAGTTGAATACAGTTAAAATCAAATAATTTTATTAAGTATTCTTTCTACAATCCTTTTACTTTACTATATATTACACTTTAAGTACATGGACAGTAATGTATTCTTAGATGAACTAATAATCTACGAATGTAATGTATTTCATGTTATTATATACTTTTAAAATTATTCTTCTAAATGAAGAAAGGTTTAAAGTTGAATAATTTTCTAAGACTAGAATACATTTGTATTCATAGAAATATTATATTTTGCGGAAAAAAAGTATTTTTAATGACCTACAGTCTTTGTAATAGTTTTGATATTTATATCCAATAATGAAATGGAATATTCTATAGTTAGTCATTCATGACCATATAGTAAAAGAAAAGAAATATTTTAACCGATAAATTTTATGAGATTTAGAATTTTACTGATAATGATAATCTTTCGACTTACCGTGTGAATGATACAATTACAGTATCAAAGCCAAAGTATTACTAATTTATAATTGGCATAGGAATTTAAGAGACTTAAATATGAATAACAGAAATAAAGTGAATAAAAGTAAGTTATGAAACTTTCATAAACCCAACCTGGCAATGTAGTTTCTAGTGAACGACATAATCCAAGACGTTTACACATTCCACGAATGACCTTCATCACTTGAGAATGGAAGTAATACTTAAAAATAGAAATGAACAATTTAAGTTGGAAGTTATATCATTCATAAATATGATATTAACGTTTTTATAAGACATATATAATTTTATATATAAGTGATATTTTGTACACTTCATTCTAAGTTGATATTCAAAACATCTGTCAACAATGTTAAAGTATTGGAATCACCACCGTTTATTCGTTCTAACCAAATAGCAATCTTCTGGAACCTATTTATTTATTTTGATTGATCCAGTTGAATAATCTATATGTAAATCGTGGTTAAAGCAAAAGACGGTGTAAGTGTACCATTAAGAAGTAATAATACTATTTGTTAGACATTATTACATAAATGTTTCCGAAATTTGTTTGTTAAAAACAGTTGTTGTTCCGCACGACCAGTTGTAGCTCATAATTTTTACAATAAAACAGTACCCTGTACAATTATTTGTTCATTTTAATATCAGCTGTTGATGGACAAAGTTTACAATTAGTGTTCAAAATGCGAAGTGTTGGGTTTCAGTGTATAAACCAAGAAAACATTCTTCGACTTGTTGATCTTTTGAATTACTGTTTCACTGAGCCACATTTAGTCTGAATTTCATGTATGACATGCCTGATTCACTAAATAGTAACTAATCAATAATTGACTTCTGTAATCTGATTTACTGGTGATTCAGTGCGTGTCTACAGATCAGTCATGCTAGGTCTAGATTTTAAAGTTAACCTTGTCAACTCAATAAAATATTTAATGTAGAACCCTGTCACTGATGCACTGATGTTCCAGGTTATTGGTATTAGTATGTGGCTAGCAGAGGAATCCAGGGTACAGTTTTTAATACAAAATCAAAACTTGCTATTCAAAAGACAACTGAATCCAGGTCGTTTCACTATGAATATCAAAACTGTAATCTACATATATCCAGCTAACGAATTTCAAACAGGAGGAAACGTTAGTCCAGGACCCAAGTGCTAGCCACATATCAAATATACTTAACTGATTTTAATGATTTAGACTGCAGAAGAAACCTAGACATCTGATGATTATATTTCTACAGTTGAATTCATGAGTCGATCTAAGGTAGACCACCATTAAAAACTTGGCAGCACTGAACGGCCGTTTCATCCCAGCATGAAACTAGCTTCAAAATAGATTTCCTGGAGTTCATGTGAGAAGCCGTGACAGTTATTCAACTCAGACAATAGGTGAAGGGTTGGGCAAGATCGTGGGTCGATTAAAGCTAGACATTAACACCGTGGGATAGCAGCTCAGTGGTCTAGAGGTTAAGTATGCAAACTACAAAGTAACCATCAACTCGTTATAAGACTGATCAGCGCAGTACTACACCTGTAGTGAACGAGAATAGAATATTTCACTAAAATCTGAAAACCATACAGTAAGTAGTTAATTTGCAAAATATCAATCAATTGTTTCAAACTTGGCTGTTCCTTTTGCAAATCTAAGTTCATCGTCTCGGATTTCACTGTTTCGTGCATTTTCATATGAGTTGGTTTCCGTTCTCGTTGTTTCCTTCACGATCTTCTACTGGAATACATTCTATTCCTGACCATCGTTATATACTACTTATGTGGACATAAGTAGCTCACACCACACACCTAATACTTTAATAACATGAAGATGACATATATGAACCTAAGTCCAACGTAATAATACCAAAATCTTTTCCATAGAAATATAGTTTAAAGTTATTACTACTCGCAAAACATCAGTACATCCATATTTATTGTCAGTATATCACGAGTTTATTGAAATATTCCCATTATATTAAAACGGAATTGAAATACTGGACGGCCATTTCGTCTTATTGTGGAACTCCTCAGCAGTGCCCGTCTACGATCCTGCTCGCGGGACTCGAACCCAGGGCTTTCAGTCTCGCTTAAACGCTCAGCCTACTGGACCACTGAACCAGCATCCAATGGTGCAAATGTCTAACCACAACCGATCCACGAAATTGCGCAACCATCTACCAGTGGAGTTAATCCGTGTCGGGTAGAGACAGGAATCCCTCTAGCGGGATCGTGGATGAGCACTACTGAGGAGTCTCACAATAGGACTAAACGGCCGTCCAGTGCTTCCAGGTTTTCAATCTTGATCGAACATCAATCGGTTCATGATCTCAATCAAAAATTTAATAATCTCCACAACCCCTATACTGATAATTGAAATAGTTTATTTGGTCTTTACTAATAAACATTATTTTTTATTGATAAACGTCAAACACAAGGGTCCGATAATTGTTTATATACATTTCTAAATTATTAACTATTATTATTTCATGAAAAAAGTAATAATGTTTAACTATAAAATATAAGTTTAAAATACATAATACCTGATATTATTGAATATAATTAAACTTACTTCAGTTTGAATTGTATGTTGTTGTTGTTCTAATTCAAATAACTGATATACAAAATCATCGTATAATTTTGGTTTCATAGCACATTCTGATTTAGCACCAGGAGAAATTAAAATGCTCTCAAACGAATTCCAGATCTCATTACAACTTATACTTTTTATATGAAGTAATAAATGGAATTAATTCAGATAAAGTTTATCAGGATAATTAATGAATAAATATAATTCTGTTTTTATTGACATTTTTAAGAATAAGAAAGTTGTGGAAATAGTTAAATGTTTTGATTTACATCATAGAATATTTCTAATTAAACAATCATTGAAGATCGTTAAGTTTTATACAACTGTTTCATCTTTGTATGAGATATGTCAGTTGTGGGAGCTCACGGATCCGCTTACTAGTCTAAAAGTTGACCACTGGCCTCAAGGCTTAAAAATCATAGATTTAATTTCTGTTAGGTTCTCGAATGTCCACTACTAATTTCAATGTTAAAATGAAATAACTATCCAGTACCTTCTAGATTTCAGTAGTTATGTAATCAAGGTTAGTTCATGATAGAAACCACAACTTTCACTGCTTATTATTAATTACTCGACAAATTTAAAATATGAATAATTTTGCAAAGACATTAGAATTGAGCTATTAGTTATGAAAGTGAAACAATAGTTCAGTGATCAAAGGCTTTGACTTTTCGTAGCTGAGTGATAAATTCAAACTTTCAATCCATTTATATTGCTACTTGATAAAAAGTAAATAGTATCACTAGCACTCACATTAAAGTGTATGACTTTCAATCTAAATAAGTAGACCTCTATATGATTATTGATTTACACTATTAGCTTTAGTTGATGGAATAAAAGTTTTTGGCGAAATTCGGGAAAAAATGACTTTACAAAATGAAATTGATAAAACGTATACTGTAGATTTATATTGTGATTCTTCATTCATTGCTTTCAAAAATAATTCTACTGAAAGGTGTGCTTACAGTTCAAATGTCATATTCATTTACACTCACACAATAAACCAATACATTGATCAGATCCTCAAAATTGATTCAATAAGATGCGTAACATTAATAGCTGATAAAATTTATAAACGTCTTACACAGTGTAAATGGTTAAAATTCCAAACAGCTACTCTACGTAATCAATTCACTGAAAATAATATCCGGTGAACTAACTGAACATCGCAGAGTTCATTTTTATATTTTACATAGTTTTATCAAAAGAGTTAGCATATATATCTGGTGACTAAAAAGGTTCCTGTAATTGTTTCCAGCAAGTTCTGGTCACGAAAATAATTACATTATCACTAATGACATAAATATCACGTTACATTGCGTATTATGATTTGAGATGGGAATTTGAATCATTACAATCAGACTATATGATCTTAAATATCATTGATGTTACGGGTGGTAACTTCTGTTAAGTATCAAACCGTTAATTCCTAATCCTTAATTGTTTCCTATAAAATTTTTTCCCTTATCAAAATCACTTTTAAATCACTAATTAACAATCTTCGTATATAATATATGATTGTCTAATTCATATAACTATGATATTCATAATAATATTATTTTATTTCGAAAAAAAACTGTAATGTCTAGTTATTATGGGTTTCTTAACAACAACATCAAACAAACTTACTTAGTAGCTCCATGTTCAATCTTCCAGTGAGTACATCTTGATTTTATTATATCACCAAGTAAGTTTGTTTGATTTTGTGCATAGTTAAAGACTAATATATTTGATAAAGTAAGAAACAATATTATATTCATCATTATTTGAATTAAAATATTGTGAAAAATAAGTGAACAATCCAGTTTTTTAATATATGCATACAATCTTTTATAGTTATTTCAACATTAGATCAACACAGATCAGGATTTCACACCTTCATTATTACGAAATAAATTAATCTCATTGGATATTTAATTACTAAGTTGTTACTATGCTTGTAGTTTAGCACTATTTTTATTTGTTATTGGTTACCTTGAATGATCAGTGTATGAGACATTACACTAATTAGTAATAAAAATGAACTTTGACTAGTTGAATTTTATTCAAAACTGTAACTTTTTCTGGCCCAGAAATCATATGAATTATGCTTTTTAGCATTTCTATTATTGATCACTTTCACTTATATGAGTATAAGTTGACAGTTATCTCATTACAATGTCTATTCAACTTCATGTTTATAGACCTACACAAATTAGTCCAACTGTATTTTAATGGTACAAGAATATCAAGGATTTACGGTGAGACAAATGAAGAGTCAGTAAATACGAAATATTACATTTTCCAAACTGTGCTGACTTACGTCTATTACCCCTCGTCGAGGAGTATAGACCGTCCACCAGCATTCTCCAAACAATTCTGTCGTTGAGTACTCTTCCCACTTGTTTCCAGTTGATATTATTTTTTTATGTATACCTTCTACTCCCGAGGCAACGTGTTCCTAGGCTTTCCTCTTTCCAATTTCCTTTGAGGACTGCAAGTTAGCACTTGCCTCGTGATGCAGTTTGATGATTTCCTAATTTCCTCTTCAGATGGAAATTGGTTTGTCCTCTCCTACAGTAGGTTGTTGCCAATGGTATCCGACCGATAAATATTAAGTATCTTGCGTACACAATTGTTTATAAATACCTGTGCTCTCTTGATGATGATTGTGGTAGTTCTCCAAGTTTCAGTTCCCTGCATACAGTAGAACAGTCTTGACGTTAGTATTGAAGATTCTGACTTTGATATCTGTTGACAGGCAGTTGTTTGGAGTTCCATATGTTCTTCAATTGTAGGAGTGCTGTCTTTGCTTTGCCAATCCTCTCCTTTACGTCTGCATTCGATCACTCTTGTTCATCGACGATGCTGTACAGGTACGTGAGAGATTCCATATCTTCCAGAGCTTCTATATCAAATGTAACTCTATGTTGTATTTGAGGATCTCGCTTTTTCACTTGTGTGCGTTGAGGATGGAAGAGCAAAGTTCGAACCGTCTATCTCCATCAGGCTTGGATCCATTAGGTGTCACTGATTCCGATCACCGCCAAGTTGTATCTCCCAATTTCCGAAGCTATTTGAATAGTCCTTTCAGTCTTCCACATTTTTTGGGCATTCCGTGCATTTATATTATTGTCGTACTGGTTTTAGAAGAGCCATTAGCCTAGTGATTACCGAACAATCTCGTCTTTCATAACACTTCTAAATGAAGATCCTTCAATATGGAGGGGAGAAATTAAATGGTTGAAATGATTTTCTTTATGGTTTTAGTGTGTTTTACCAGATACTCGTGACCTAGCCATCGTTGATGAGTTTAGATCGATGCATATCGATAAATAATCCAATGACCTTGAGGGATTGTACTTTTATCACTTAAGTCGAAAGTGTTAAAATCCTACGTTTGGAAGATGAATTTTGTATGGTATTTGAAATATACGGTTATTTGCTATACACGTATCCTGGATTTCTAACAAAATTTACACCGTCAATCTAAGGAGTTCCAATGTTTAGAACTCTGTTGTGACAAGTAAATAGTTCTAAGGTTGATTCCCATATCAGTGGTTTTCCAAATAAGTTATCGCACTAACAACCATGTTACTCTAATGTATCTCTATCAAAATATACACTACAAATCTCCATTAATGATCTCTATCATCTGAATAAACTACTGAAATGGGTACTATCGTACCATACTTCCAAATATTTGGAAACACGTGAAAGCCAACACGGAATATTATATCACTGAATAATCATAGCTAAATGTTGAAAGGTAATGAAGAATACTTTTTACAATTTTTGTATTTGAGAGAGAAAAAATAAAACATGTTAATAAGGAAGAGTATTAGGCATCATATCAAATTTCTACTCTAAAGTGTTAATCAGAAGCTATGATGAGAATATATAATCAAACAAATTGATTGACGATTCAATCACAAGACATAAAAATACCTTCTAGTGTTGTAATCTATTAATACTAAATTCATGATGCTATTACACTAAGTAATGATCTTTATTATTCGAATCATAATCGTTGATTGATTTGATGGAAACATGTACTTACACGTTTCGCAAAAAAAGACCTCACACTTACAATTATAGAATAATTACGAATGAGCTAAACTGAACTTAATTTATCAACGCAAATATAAATATCATCGTTAATTATTCAAAGAAAGACAATGTACAAACCTATTTAATATTGATTTATTTTTATGTGAATAAATTTGTTGAAATTAGTAATGAAAATGTAGTTATTTTGAAATAAGGAAAAGCTTCATATATATATGAAATATTTTCAGTGAACAAGAAAACTGTACTTTTCCACTCATTTTCTTGTTATTCAACTTGACACCCCCAAATGCCCTGGTATGGCCGAGAGTGGAGAGAGTCCGCTCGCCCTCTCGAAATGCTCTCACATGGCTACGTGCATCCTACTCACTGCCTTCTCACGGCGGGGGTGTTGTTAAAGAAATCGGGAGGACGAAAAGCGAATGTCCGGCGCTTTAAACGGGTCAATGGATGCGGAGAATAGACCTAGGCGAGTTGGAAAACCCTGATTCCAAACCACTGGTGTACATGGGTTCCAGGATCCTAAAGAAACAGATGGCGTGTGAAACAATTGTTGGTCACCGGCTACCATGGGACTGCATCTACTAACGTTGCTCCATTGCCTTGTGGGTCAGACCTTTAGGTCAAAGGCTCCGGGTGTGCCCCCCTAAGAAAATCACCTGCTCCGGTTTTGGCACCCGGGCAGTATCCCAGCCCTCACATAAACTGAATGATTTATGTGCCGCATATCTATTTGATGCCTCCTTGTACAAATGTTTACGTGTTTAAATAAATGTTCAACTTGACAGTGTGGTTCTTTAATGTTGTATTTGTATTAATTTAAACAGATTCAATGATTAATTTATTAAATCTTCTACCCACTATTTTAATGTTTCTTTACAAATGTTTCTTGTTTGTTTAGGTTGTTAAAGAGATTTATTTATTTGATGGGTGACATAACTATTTCTGTAAAACTTTTATTTATTTTAGATGTGTACCTAAACTTACAACTCGTTAAGATAATGATGAAAGAAAATGAAACCAGATTATATGAAAATTAAACTGTATTTGTTTTTGTTGTTGGTGTTATCCTCAGTGTTTATCGTTCTCACAAATTGTGTAATACTGAGTGATTTCAGTCATTTTCCCTTACGTTAACTCGGTAGGTGTTCCATACTACAGTATAATTTCCACTAAATATTTCATTTCAAACAACCCTGGAGTTGTCTGCACTTGTCTAGTATAAGTATGTCCAGTAAAACACAGTATAAAATGTCGGATGAAATACACAAATATAGTATAAGTTAGGGCTTGAGATAAGATCTCTGATAAAACATACACTATGATATTCAATACCCATCCATTAAATGTGGAGAAAAATAACCGGAAGTTTTGATTAAGGATGTCCCTAAGTGATGTTTTAAACCACACATATATGGTATATACATATACAAATATGTGTAATATGATTTTCAAATGATTTTTTTATGAAAACATTAAGTGTTATTTTAAATTATTTCAAACTAATATTATTATTATTATTATTATTTAAAACTAGTGAACATTCCCCACTCGTGAATAATTAGTCCTGAATTAAAACAACCAGCACAATAACGTTCAGCCATTCAGTTTTTATTCAGTGTTCTAATCTATCAAATTTCAGTCAGACCTCAATTAAAACACGGTCCTCTTCTTATTTAATCTGTGAATAACTATTTGATCTGGAAATCCGTTGGCACATCAAGTCTTGGCTCGTGGATTGAGCTTCGAAAAATTCACTTTGAAACTGGTAAACATCAAGCAATTGATTACTATTTTTCGACATTGTTTTTTTAAAACAATCTGTACAATTTAGAAGTTATTTTAAAACCAGCTTGCTTCAAGGGAACTAACAAAAACCAAGAAACATTGAGCATCTGCCACTTCCATGACTTGAGTGAACCTTCAAGTAATTTACTTAAAGACTGCACTACAATTCACACCTATGGACTCACAACGAATCCAACTTGGGAATAACTAGTCATGAGGTAAGTACGTTATTTCTCAACCAGTATGTTGAAGTCCAGTGAACTATATTTTTAATGTCACTCGTTTCGCCTTACAGAGAAGTAATCATTCAATCCCATTGAGGATGACTGCCGCAGGATGTGAATGAACTTCAAAAAACACGAATTCTCACATGAACGTTGGTAAAACATTTCGAATTTAAATACTAATGAGCACAGTACTGTAATTATAGAGGTTTGTGAAGACTGGTTTCGTTTTTACGTGGTTTTCCCGACAAGCTAACTTCACATGGGGTACTAATGAAAACCATGGATAATTGGAGATCTGTGTTAAATCATCGTTTTTCTGATAAAACAATCTTTTCTCAATCTTTATGTAAGTACCGGATGATGTTCAAGGGTTATTTTGACAAACTATTGAGTAAGTTATAAAAGTGATATTTTTGTATTGAATAAGTGTAGTTTTATCTTAGCCACACTTTATAGACCCCAGTTTTTTTTATTTCACCATAACTTGTTATTCGCTACACTACTTTCAAGTTTATTGGTAATGAGACAAAAATAGTATCTAGCCAAAGTATTTCAGAATGTTATAAACTGTGGAGGCTGGAAATTTAATTGTGTTCGCAATAAAATGAACCTTATGGATAAATATATTATATCATTTAATTATCATTAACAAAGTTCCAGTAAGTTTCAATTTAGCTAGCCATGACAAAATCACATAACAT